TTTTTGGAAATTCTCATAATTTTAGCGGCACATGTTGTTGAGCATGTGCATATTCCCCCTCGCTGGTGGTAGCCGTAGTGGCGTGAAACTCTGTGATGGCTGTTCAGGTGTTGACCCCAACTACCTACTCGAGAGGAGTTTCTCACAGTTCCAGAAGGACAAGGGCTGCATAGCGGCCAAGGAGAAGGTAGTTCATCTGGGGATAATTTCGTGGCGCGTGACGGTGGTTTGCCCTGATCAGCATTCGGAATTGAGCCATAAGTTGGAGGATGCCACTGAGGAGCTGAATAAGGTCACTGCTGATGCCTCAAAGAAGATGAACTTTGATGTTAAAATGGTAGCAGTGCTCCGTCCTACTGTGGGAGATTCAGGCCTGCCCTTAGGCATTGACAGACGCCTTCCAAGCTGATCAAGAGCTGGCCAATGCTATCGAGGAGCGCAGGAAGATATTAACTTTGCCCAAGTACGCCATTCCCTTCATGAACCCTGGCAGGCTCATCAGTCTGTCGAAGAATGGTAAGTGTGGTATTGGCGTGAAGTGACGGAGGAGTGGTAGGAGCAGGTGATTGGGCTATGGTTATCAAGTGTGACAAGTTGGCTGAGGATAAAGGGGCGGCTGATCTCGATAACAGCTACGTTGTTGATTGCATTGATGGTAGTAGTAGTAGTCAGGTCGCTCAATGTGACGGTCTTCAACCATGTCATTTCAGAGGAGGGCATTGTTCGAAGTGTTCCTCTGAGGGCCCTTCATAAGATCAGTAGGATCAGAGGGCAGCTGCCACAGGCGGCTCAGGAGGCCCACAACCGTACGGAAGCTGTGAAGACCCAATGCAAGAATATGCTGAAGGCCATTGTAACAGGAGTGGACACAAATAGGATTGATCATATTATGCTTTGCTCAGCTAAACCATGACAACTTCAAGGCTCACGGACTGCCCGAGCTTGACCCGGTTAATGAGATGAAGATCGATGGTGAGGAGTTCAGTGAGGTCTCGAAGAAGATGAAGAATGCAGAAAACGCAAAGTTGTCGAACCGCCTTATGACGGTGCCCCAAGCAGAGCGATCTCAGTAAGTGCCGGCTCGGGCTGGCTTTGCAGCGTGGTACCTTTTTAAAAATTATCAGCAATTTCATCGAAATTTTTCGGGTCACTGCTTGAAAACAGTCGGGAAAAAATTGATAAAGGGGTATGTCTTCTAAAAAAATCGAGAAAATTATCAAAAATTTCAGAAAAAACATCAAATGTATTCGGAAAGTTTTGTATGTATAGGCTTATGGACCTCTTCACGAAACGAGTCCATCTTCATGAGGAGCAGACTAAGTGCGCGGACATCTTGAAAAATCAAAACACTGTGGTAAGTCCAGGAGACGGCGACCTTGACAGGTATTCATGGTTCTTCTCTTAGATCCTCCGTGATGAGCTAAGATCGATGAAGCGTGTCTTGCGTCGGCTGGGCTTCGTGGATAGGAATAATGTCGTCCTCGAGAAGGTGGAGGCGGCCTGCTGCTGTTGGGACGCCTGGTTAGTGTTGTTGGTTGTAGGGAAAGTTGGCGTGTGAGATCTCCTCGTGCGACGAGATCCTCCTCACTGAATTGGTCTTCAACAACGTCTTTGAAGGGATGTCGGTAGGTCTCCTCATTATCATTATTTAGTGACACTTCTGGTTCTGCCAGGCCGAGCATATCGCCGCTCTCTGTTCGTGTTTGATCCTGGACGAGAAGTCGGAAGATGCCACGTAGGGGCTGCTGGGCGATTTCGATACCGCACTTTCGTCACATCATCAGGACGCCCGAGAACGCTGATTTGGCGAAGGCTTTGGACAAAATGAAGGTCATTGCTCAGGACGTGGCCACGGTCATGGCGGTACTTACCAGGAGTCGTCGGTGAGGCAATATCCCGTCCTTGTAGGAATGCAAAGTGGCTGGGGTCGACACCAGCACCTACGTGGAGGACCACATACGACCGCAGCTGGTCCCAGCAGTCGTGGCTTGGATGGAGGGGAAGCCTTTCAAGGACATCATGCAGACCGTTGAGATGTACGAAGGCAGCGTCGTCCGAGTCATGAGGCGCCTTGAGGAGCTACTGAGGGAACTAGGTAAGTGGTCGTAGGTTGTGAGGTTTGTAATAATGGAGTTGTCCTGATAGGAATGGCGGCTAAGTTGATCGGCCACAAGGAGTTGGAGGAGAAGATGGTCGAAGGCCGGACTAAGCTGCGGAGAGGCATTGTATTCAGCGCTAGTCTGTAGGATGGGAGAGGCGACATGTAGGGCGCGCTGATGTGTTGCGAGCAGGTACTTGTAGAAATACTGATACCATCTCGCGGCCTCATCGTGGCCTGGTTTCGAGGACCCCCGCGCTAAACGTTCATTACCTTTCCTGATCTACCTCTATAACCTTTCGTGTGTGTTGTGTTGGTCAGTCTCGGCTTTCGAGTGGGGTTCGCATTGTAATCTTATGGCACCACATAGAGGACAGAGCTATGGTTATATGACCCTGTAAAGAGCACCGTCGGGCCGTCCCTTTTTTCATCAGGAATTGTATGCGCCTATTCATGCTCACAACTCCCATCGCAGACACGGTCCCTCGGAGCTTGATGGGAGACTATTTTGCCCTGCAGATTTTTTTCCATGTCCTCGACGCCTCCCTGTCCTACGCCGACTCCTACGTGCTGAAGTACGCTGGCTTGTCTACCTCCATCTAAGGAACGTTGCTACTGTGATCATCGCTGTTTGTAATTTGTCACCATGGTTCCTTTGGTGCCTCTTTAAGGCTGTGGCTAATGCTGCTCTTGTGTCTTTTCTGGCGACTTGCACTGGTCCAGTATTCCTCGTCGCCGTTGGAGGCGTCATAGTATTCAGCATACCTCCTGCCAAATACGGCTCGATGTGTTGTCAGAGAGATGGTCTTACCACTGACGGGCTGGGCATAGCCCTTTGCTGGAGGATCGTGCCCCTCCTGGTCTTTGCTGGCTTGCTGTTGAGTTCGATGGTCCTCATCAGAGCACCGGAGCAGAAGGGATGTTGGCTTGGCCCGATACTACCAACTTGAGAGCCGTTGTGTGCTACTTGCATTACCATTCCTCTCCTTAATCGCATCGGATGTTTCCTATGGCGCATGCCGCCGTAGCTCAAGTCATCGTCCTTATCATCGATGGGTCCTGGTGGGGTATATCTGATCATCGCCCTGCGATCTTCGCAGCGAGTGGTATGTACTCGGCGGTGTCTGCTCTCCTAGTTCAGTCTAGTTGCACATTGAGTGGTATCTCAGAAGCCATCTGACTCGGTATATTCCCCTAAGTGGACAACAACATCATAACTAGTGGGTATTGATGATGAACAGTCGATTGTGGTTGGTGATGACCTGATGGGAATCCCCGAGATGTCAGTGGTCCCTCCGAGAGGTCCAGTAGAATACATTTGTGGCCGGTCGTGACGGAGTATTGGGGTCGGTCGTATTAGTTCTGCGTTGTTTATATTTCTATCAGAGTAGAATCGACAGTGTTTCCATACCCTCTCTCTTGAGTCGAATTGTCCCCTTCTCCCGTATCATCTGCTCACGTCCAACGAGTTTCTTTCTTCCCTTGAGGTCGTCACTATAAAGGACTCCGTCGAGCATGCAACAGGGCGCGCAGGCCTACGACACTGTAGAGGAGGTCCTCGAGGAGCTCGACGATGACGGCGTCGTCTGTGACGTTTGCCTTATACAAGACCAAGACGATGAGGTGAGCCGTCATTGATCACCCTAACCGTGCTCAGTATTGCATCCCAGGACGGCAACCCGAACCTCATCCTTATCTGTGACGCCTGTGAAGCCGCGGTCCACCAGGATTGCTATGCGTAAGCTCCTCTTTCCCACTGTTGGGCCGGCGAGGTGCTGCCTTCCTATCAGTATAGCACGTGTGCCCAAAGGGGCATGGTATTGCGACTTCTGCACATACGCTCGAGAGAACAGCATCAGTAGGGCGACGTATGCCACGCTCTGTGAAGTTCAGTATCAGGCGAGGACGAGGCGAGGAGGGAACGGCAATGTTTGTTGTGTCCGCGGCGAACGGGGGCTCTCCTCAGGATCAAAGGTGGCACGTGAGTTCATGCTTTGTCGCATCACCCGCTATTGATCTTCGGCTGTAGGTTTGGAGGGTATTGGATCCACGCCGCCTGCGCTTGGTGGATACCCGAGTGCAGCATTCAGGAGGGGAGATACGGGTGAGGTCAAGCCCCTGCCACGACGAGGATGATGATAATGCCAATTGACAGGTACATATCTTTGGACGCGGCCTCTATGCGGAATCTACAAGAAAGGTAAGCTGCTTATCCTCCCTATACCGAACTCCATTATCTCGATTGGGATAGTTGTTGGAACTCACCAGGACCAACACAAGGCTCTGTCGCCCCCCGTCAGTAACTTCCAATTGGGACTACTTCATTTCCCTTGGGCGTGTGCTACAACTTCGCCTGGAACTCGTCAATGTTAAGGCATTGACTATTGAGGCTGATCAGTGGTGTTGTTATCAGATTTGAAGCGGTCTGTGATGTCTGTCATCTCCCTCATGTTGGAGCTGTACTTCAGTGCTCCGCAAAAGGCTGTTACCGAGGCTTCCACGTCCCCTGCGCACGTGCTATGAACTATGCTCTCGATCTAGTAGGTAGGCATATCTTTTCTGGGGAATCTTGAGGTTGAGCGGGGAGGATACGGGATAAGTCCCTTTGTAGCCGAAGCTGATCACATACACGACGACGAGGAGGGTGATGTCATCCTCCCTTTGAAGGCGTACTGCGATAAGCACCGTCACGAGGCCTATCCTGACGAGCCTCGCTTCAAGCGATGGGTGAGGACTCATCCCGGCCCGGTTGGTCCGCATCATATCATCTTCAGAAGTCCGATCAGCGACAACGCGTCTGCTACGTACAGAATTTGATCAATCGGAATCGTACAATACTCATTGATATGAAACAGAACCTCAAGGACCGCAGTAGATGGGCACTACTGATAAACCAAATGCTCCTCCAAGTGAGGAGTCACCACTCCCTTTGGCCCCTCATCGCTGCTTTTTAGGAATTCGATGGTAACGCGAACGAGATTGAACGGGTGTTGTCATGGCCAACGAATAAGCACAAGTCGCGGCATCATCACCATTATCATCATGATGATGATCATCATCATCAGATGGAGGATGCTCGTGAAGATGTAGAGGAGGAGGAGGGGGAGCGGACCACCTCCCAGGAGTGATGGAAAAATTCTCCATCCTTTACCTCGTCAGAACTACTTTCTATTCGTACCAATCAATTCACTTTCCATCTTCTCACCTCTTTCCGCGTTTGTCAATTACCATCGACTGACTCTGGCGCTCAGCACCGTATAGTTGCTGATGAGCACCAACGTGAACAAGCCGACGAGATCATCCATAGCGAGATCGTAGGGCCTATCTAGGCATCGACTGAACGTAGCGCTGCTTCAGGAGGAAGCATTCTACAGCTAATGAGGAGGGAGATGATCGAAGGACTCCTCGAACCCCAATGCAGCTGATAGCAGAGGACGATAGCTCCTGGGATGAGGGCACAATAGGAGAAGCACGCCAACGTGGGGGTTCGAGTGGTCGCCAGTGGTGGAGTGGATTCATGTTAGCTCCAGTGAAGGAACGATCCTCTGCCTCGGCCCGTGCTGGAAGAGCCGGTATCGACCCAACGGTGAAGTGAAGCCTCTTCCATCTCGGTATTAAACAACTTGATAGGTCCTGGCTTTCGCTGAGTGGTTGTCTGATCTCCGCTCGTTGAGTCAAGAGGACGAAAGGGCGACTGGTGCAGCAATGAGACAGTGTGGGAGGGAGGCGAAGATGTAAGGGTTAATGGTCTTCCTCTACGAGCACACGCTTGTGCAGCCAACGTAACGCGGTCGACCTGCTCCGGCGGGACCTGAATACACTCAGTAGCACATGGCAGCAACAGTTCGAGGCGGCATTCAAGGCACTGGAGGTGGCCAGTAAGGATATTACAACGCTGAAGAAGTCGCGGAACAAATTCGAGGATGTGAGAATGGATGTTGAAGGTCTGCTGGGGAGCTCGTCGTGCCTCAGAGCGTGAGGCAGGAGATGGCCTCTCTAGTGGGAATATTATCAGGCATGAACAGGGAGATCAAAATGCTGCGAGAAGAGCGTCACGAACATGCTGCTAGCGTGAGTAAACAAGTGGACCAGCTGAGGACAGTAAGACCAGTACGGGTTTCCTTTCCCTGGGGAAATGTGTATGTCAGGAACTCGCAGACCTCCGTCAAGATCTAGATGAACACTGCAAGGAGTGCAAGGGGAGGGAGGGAAGGCAGTCGCAGCAAGTGGTAGGTCCTAGCCTTGCAGGGATGGTTGGTTATCTTGTTGGCTGCTTTCACAGGGCGGAGATGGCAGCAGCGATAATGCCCCGACCAGACAGAGAGCGGAATCGCCATTCAAGAAGGCGCTGCCCATGCAGCGTTCCGAAGGTGGGGGGTCCGGAAGGTTTCAGCCAGCCAGCGATTGATCATCGACAGGTTTCCCGTCCCCATTGGACTCCAACACGCCGAGAACGAGCCGAATCAACCCCAACACTCCCAGAGCTACGAGGACCAGCTCTGCCCCATGGGGTTTAGCAGCCCCGCTCGGTAGAGCTAGGTAGACCCCGCAAAAAGAACACTAAGTTGCCTCAGCAGATACAACGGGATCGTATACCGCTCGGATGGGCAGTAGCTGGGTTCCTAGCTACACCATTGCAGCGCCAGCGAACAACAGCATCGACCTCACTTCTTTTGACGGGAACGAAAGGGTAACCCGATTGCTTACTGCGTCATGTCACGGCTCTTTGCCAGGCTAAGCTGGTCTCAATGAACCACCGCCCGGCAGATGTCGTTTATCCGTCATCACGTTATACTTCTGCTCATACGGCTGCTCCTTACACGCAGTCGGGATCACCTTATGTCAGGGTCAATGTGGCTGTCAATCGAGCCTCTTCACAGGCTTGAGAAACATGATTGATAGCGTCCATGCTGCATGAGTGTACAACTGCTGCTAACGCAAGTTCGTGTTCTAGTACGGGGCTTTGTCATAGCGTGTTGTCGGCAAGAGAAACTCGAAAGGCAAGCCCTCACGCTCCAAAGACATGAATAATGTCGCTTATTAAAGCAACCACTTATTCAACTGAAAGCGCAGCACAACGATAGCCACGCTGCAAGTACTCGTTAATCGTGCCCTTTCAACCATTTATTGACGAGGGAGCCAGTCTGAGTGCTTGTCGAGCAGTGATCAATACTCCCATGCATATCTTGTCGCTCCGTGTGAAGTTATCATCAACTCTTGCTGAGCAACACGAGCCAGCTGTACTCGGAGACATACTGAGAGTCACTATGAGGACTCAGCGACTCACACTGGTTCGACACCGCCGTCAACATTTAGGCGTCGGTCGCTTCGCATGAATCTTGTCGAGTCAACTGACGGCTTCTCTACCGTCCTGTATGATGACTTAGCTCATCACTATCCCAGAACGCGCTTTAGTAGGATCATTGAATTCTTGATGGAGTTCTGTGCATCACTCGTGCCTTCGTGTCGGTAAATAGTTCACTGAACTACTCAACACAAACCACCACCACCACTATTGTTACAACAATACATGAGCGACGTGCGGTAACTCCTTACTCGACTCCTGATATTGGGGGCTCCAAGTGGCTGAGGACTAAAGGGATCCACACATAGCCGAAAAATTGGTTCGGGCACCGGTCAGTGTTCCTGGCAAACTCCTCGAACATAGCTTGGAAATCAATATTAGCTTGTTGCTCGCGCTGCGCCTCGATGGTCTCGGGCCTGAAAATTTCGGCTGCAGATGAATTCCATAGCATGCAGCTACCTGACGAAGCTGATGCGCCTCCTCCGCGATCGAACGGGATACACTAACGCGGGCTGCTGTCCTATAGTCGGCCTGGCACCCGTTACGGTGTGTCTCCTTGCAGATGCTAACAAATCACAGCAAACAGTGTGGTGACGCGTCGTGGCAGCTTTCTCTCCCAATAAATCTTCGAGGCACCTCAAAACTCGGAGAATCGCGCCATCAGAACGATGCTTACGACGTATGATCGTATGTTTTCTCTGCGATCTTCTCGCTTCGCCACTGGTTTCGATAGCAGGGCTCACGCTAACGGTGCCGTGCTTCCTCCGGGAGCGAGCAGGCATCGTCTTACTCACAGCAGCCCTGAGGTGAATGAGCGATTAAATGGAGAATAAACAACTGTCAGTCTTAATGGATGAACTCCGTTATGGCTGGAAGCTCACCTGCGGAAGGGGGCAGGTTCTGCATTTTCCGGGGATTGACTCCTCTCAGGAATCTCTGGCAGATTCTCAAGCAGAGCTGTCCTGGTCATGATTGTGCTGGGAATAGCTTGGACGCTCTCTGGTGGTATATACAGTGCGGCAGCAATCGTCTCGAGCAACTGTGGGAAGTCGCATTGGCAAGACCATGCTCGGATCCGATACTCTTCTATGGGTATGATGAACTATCGATGCCCCCTCCTATGCGCGTTTGTGTAGATTTTACCGTGAAAGTTGAGCACGATGAATACTTTTTCGTCTGCTCACTTACCACTGTGAATCTCTCTAAGTCATATTTGTTCATGATAGCTGTGATATCCACGCACGTGTGACCATCGGGAGAGTCAATAAAAGATTCAACCTAGGTCACCATATGGCATCGATGATTACTGAGTTTTTCCGTACCAGCTCTTTCCATTTGGTCCTGACCTCGTTCTGGAATCGATCACATGGTTCGACCTCCGTTTGCAAGCTGCCCCCTTTGCGAGCAATGTAAATAGAATATGCTGTAGCTGTGATGAATAGCCTGCCGATGAGGCCAAGACGGATGTCACCACTTTTCTCGCATCAAATGGACAGTTTATTGAAGTTTACGTCGAAGTTGGTAGTCTTGAACGACGTCGGAAAAAGGGTATTGCGCATGAAAAGTGTCACCGATCAGCAACACGACGAAACTAGATAGTTTAATAGCGAGCCAAAGGTACACTGACCGATCCAGAGTGCATCGTCTAGCATAGCCTGGCAACTGGTGCCGTCGGGACGAGGAGACACATTCCTCTCTAGAACAGTGTTGGAGTATATGTTTGGTTTCCTCAGCCGAGCTCAGGAGCTCCATCACTACATTATAAAGGGCTACGCACGACTTGGTTAATTCGCGCTACAAGTTTTCGCGCCGAAACTACAAAGAACCAACAAAAATTGTCACATTTTTTTCAGCATCCTTATATTGCCACCGACACATAGTTGACCATGCGCATATTCCCCATAGAATAATGAAATTCGACAGAGGGAATATTTGAATGCTCTTCGTATAGTCTTTCGAATCATCGCCAACCCCACCAGAATCAAACTAGGGGCTCACATAGCTCCTGTGATAATGAGGATGACCAACAAAGTGTTCACTGCAGACTTCCCGCTCGGTAACTCTCGTTCTCGCGGTATGAATACCTAACCCATTACACTGACAAAACACTGTGTGTAGTCCAGGGTGGTAGAATATGCACATGGTCAACAACAGCGTTGGTGACAATATCAAAATTAGTAGGAAAGTTTGAAAAATAATTGTAGTCTACAGCATTTCCAGGTCAAATTAATATTTTACCGACAAATTTAATTTTTTACCCATTTGGTTAATGTTTTACCCTTTTCGTTAACATTTTACCCATGGCTTCAAAGAAATACCAACAAAATTGATTTTATACCCGGTTAATTTGAAAGTTAAGGAGTTTAATTTAATGCCGTCATGGAATTCAACACCCCTCAACATTCGTGAAACGGTTCCAGAAGCTACATGTCGGTTGTAACTCATCTCATTAGCCATTCCACGGATAGTACTACGGCTCAGGGTATTTTTCCCGAATGAATGTACTTCCAGAAATAACGGGACAGGAAGGTCTTACTGCCCGTAAATCAAATCCTGCTGGTCTATGCAGCGACAGATTGTGTTAGATAGCGACGTCATACCAGGATTCCCCGTTTTGCTTGGCCTCGATAAGTCGTGTCGCTGTTTCAACGGTTATATTGGTATTATACTTGCCTCGCTTGACGCCTCTCTTGGGTCCCTCTTCCTGGGTTGTACAGGAATGGAAGCCGTGTGGGAAGAGTCGCTGGTCAACTCGCTGGCAGAAGATGTGGGCACTGTATAATCGACTACGCTGCTGGGCATCACGGAAAGATATTCAACCTGTTCTACTGTAGATTACCTAGGATTTCCATAGCTTTCCCGCAGGTTTTTCCGCTCTTCCCATACAAAGGGTGGTTCGAGGTTAACTCTGCACGCGCGCGTGACATCGCGTGCGCCCGTGGTTAAATTAAACTCCTTAACTTTCGAATTAACCGGGTATAAAATTAATTTTGTTGGTATTTCTTTAAAGCCATGGGTAAAATGTTAACGAAAAGGGCAAAACATTAATCAAATGGGTAAAAAATTAAATTTGTCGGTAAAATATTAATTTGACCTGGAAATGCTGTAAATCGATGCTTTGAACAGATATTTCTCGGTGGAATCCTCAAACTCACTGCAGAGATTATCGTGGTGATTAGCATGAGGGCCTGGGACACGACTTCGGACCAGTTGAAAAGATGGCTCCTCCATGGCCAGAATTTAAACTGCATTACGAGCGCAGCAGATATGATAATATCGAACAGGAGAATCTTCAGATATCTGAGAAGGACAAGTACGCGATTGCTACAAGTAAGGCGAGTATTGTCGCAATGACACGAGCCAAGAGCGCATAATGAGTTCCTGACAATTCCGGTCTGCTCAGCCTCATTTGATACTAATCAGTCGGTCATTTAACATACATGTCATCGACCTTGATGAACGGCACGAGAGATAGAGCCATATTCTGTGTAACAATGATGGTCGACCAGTAATAGCGGTCTTGGCGAAATCGGTAGAACAGGAATCGGAACCTCTTCATGTACCTGTGGCAGACGAGCTCAGCTGTGTTCAACTAGCCACCCGACGAGCACTCACGACGGGTCAGTTTCACAGAGCTCTCCAACCCATAGTGTAGCCCAGAAGACCAGACATACGAAGCCGATGACGTATATCAAGAGGCCTATACAGAAAAACATAGGGGAAACGGAAGGAATGCCCCTAGACGGGAGCATGCCATCCATCGAAAGACAGCTAAAATGCCGACAGATTAGCCACGAGAAACCAGTGTGTATCTCCACTAGAGACTGATCTACGATGTGATCAGCCGTCCTCCTTCGCTGAGGAATTCGGATATTGGACGACGACAGGTTTCAGCGTTACCGCACGGGAGAAAAGGAGCAACATATGTGAGGGCTCTATACACAGTCTGTATTGGAGTGCACTCATACCATGCCTCGATACAGACTAGCCCACTGAACCGTCCTTGTGTGAGCGAATATGCACATGTATTGGTGATAATGTGAAAATTCAGAGCAAATTTTGGAAAATCCTTGTTGTCCACCTCTACCCTAGATTGCGAGTGAATTCTCACTATGTAGTGAGGAAAGTCTTGCACTGAGTTGCAGAAACCAGACTTCTATTTCTCCAACACTGCCCTCACCAGCAATGCCGATGCCAACCATCGCCCAGTACTCCCCGCCCTCGCACAGCTGCTCAGGGTATTGGAGAACAGATTGGGCATCCTACAATGTTGGGATAGCAGTAGTGTAGGCCCAAGGGGGCCCACTTACCCTGCTAGGGTGAGAGAAGCACTGCAAGGGGGCCAATGATGATACCACGATGGGGATAAAGAGGGCCTGTGTTATCTGCCCTATGGAATTCGCCAGGCTCAAGTGCTCCCACTCGTAGCTGAAGGGACGGCTCTGTCAGCGAGAGAGGAGAAGCCCTTACTGCGTACCCCCGTCCAAAGCCACTGACGAGGCGATAACGCTTGAACTGAATACAGAACCATACAAGCGACATCATTCTGAGGGGGGGGGAGTGTCGAAACACCAAGGCTGACAAGCTAGACCGCTCACCCATAGAGGAATACGGGGATGAGCATACGGATGGTGTACGAGGCGAGAGGGGATATACCATTAGCCCAGCAGTCCAGGGACAGCACTTCGGTGAAGTCGAACAAGGCAAGCCGTAGAGCCTTCAGGAGCTGATCACACACGGCTGGTAACAAGACATCAATCATGAGGCGAACATGTCCATTTCCATACGGTGAGGCAGAGGTGTGTCAACTACATGTATAGGTGACGTTCGTGGAAATTTTGATAACATTCGAGGCAATTCTCATTAGTTTTTCTACACTTCTACCCAAATTTGTATATAAGCTGCTATAATTAGCGAGGAAACTCCTGAACTCAGCTGAGGAGAGCGAACAACACTGACGGTGACAAGCATAATGATGTAGTGCGAAATTCTCCACACACGCTGAGAAAGTCACATGAACAGACAATACACCGACCTACCGAGCTCCAAGAATTATCGTCTATCGAACTGATGTGCCACTCGAACAGGATGAGGCCGAATAGCGCCATCAGTTGAAGGTACTTTATAATCTGACAGGACCATAACACACGTCGGGGGGGAGTAACATACATGGCCAAGGGACATGGTGACACCAAGTAAGGTAGTCACTTGATGCAACATAGTGCTACCACCGGTCATGTGATAACTATAAGGGCTGGTATCATCAGCAGCTATGTTGCCGAACTCACGTAGCATAGCAGAATGCTGCCATAAGAACTAGCACGGCTATCAACGTGAGACGGTGGCTGGGGGAGCACTCTCGACAGGCACCATTGAAACGGAAGTATCTACGTTGGCAATGCCTGTCTTTGCTCAGCGTAATGCAATATAACGAGTAGATTCCTTCCCCTACAAGGAGACAATAGACAGCTACCCACCCTTCCTCGCACAGAGTGCATGCAGTGCCAGTCCGCCTGGCAGCACACTGACCAGCAGGCCCACCAGGGCACTCGAAATGGGACACACCTATTATCGTAAAGCATCATCATGATCATCATCCGAGGTAAGTCAAGTACTCAGACGAGCGCTGCATGGTCTATTGATACAGGAGCTGCATCGAGGTCGATCTCAGTCAGATGATCATACCAGCTTACATTTATAGGGTTGATATTTAGACGATACACTTGCCCACATACCGGGCCGTATGGAGGGTTGAGCATGGTACTCGGTGTCTGAGAACACAGGGCTCGAGGACAGCTTGGGAGGGAGCATACAAAGGACCCTCCTGAAAAATGAGGATCACCTCCTGCATGGGCATCTCCATCTGCCCAACCTCCTGGGCAGCTCATGCCGGATGGACACGGCTCGCATAAACTGGCACGGCAACAGGGCATCAACAATTTCGTGGGGAAGCTCTTACTTCACATCAGTTAGATGAAGATTGAAGTAGTATGCTTTGGAGGCTTCACAGTTGGCGTCAGACTCCCCGACAGCGCAGTGACTGTAGTAGCCGGGATTGCCTGGAATGTGAACGCTTGTACGAGCAGTGTTGGAGTATGAATATATGTTCGCTTTCCTCAGCTGAGCTTAGGAATTTCGTCACCATTTATAGGAGTTTGCATTCAAATCCAGTTAGGAAAAGTCCGCAGAAACCAATGAGAATCTTCCGAAATTTCCTCAGAATTTCCGTATCGTGTGGATATTTTCCCACATTGTAAACGATGAGCAAGGAAATAACTCAGCTGAGCTCACAATAACACTGTGTTGGTGAAATTGACCCTGTTGAAGCTGTTGTTGTGCTGGCCCGACCAGGGCAGTACTTGCCTATCAGTGAAGGGAACTCGGGACGGGAGAACATTTCGGCACTCACAGTAGCTCTGGCCTTCCACATCTTGGTACTCTCCAATGCCACATTGAAGACATTGAACACTACCAGCCTCGAGAGTGAAGGTTCCCAATGGACAAGGTGTGCCTACCTCTATGGTGTCGCAAGGAAAGATGCAATCAGAGTATTGTTTCCAGGTGTTGGGTGAGGCATACATTTCCTACACTCAGAAGCAGGGCTGCCCTCAATGTTTTGGAAGTAGCCAGGTTGGCACAATTGACAGTGGAAACTGGTGTTACCGTCCAGTATGGGAAAGGGTTGAATCATACCTGATCCATGCGATGGTCAACTTTATATACTGGTGACAATATGAGAGTTCTAAGGAAATTTTGCGAGATCCTTATTGGTCCCTGACAAGAACCAATGAGAATCTCGCCAAAAATCCTGACACGAACTTCCTGTTCACTTCTACTCGAATTTGCTATCAATTGGTGAGAAACACCTGAGCTCAGCAGAGGAAAGCAAACACATATTCCAACACTGTTGAGGAAACTCCACCGCCATACGTCATAGGGCGGCAGCTCGGTCGACTGAGTGCGAGACAACTAAGGGTTGCTGTCATGGAAAGAGTGAATAGTTTTGACCCGAAGGCACATTAATGGAATATATGTTCGCTTTCCTCAGCTGCGCTTAGAAGTTTCCTTATCAATTATCGAAGTTTACGTACGAATTCGGGTAGAAGTTCGCAAAAAAACAATCAGAATTTCCCATAATTCCCTCAGAATTTCCATATTGTGGTTGACCATGTGCATGATTTCCCCAACTGCCCCAATACTGTTGAAAATCTTACCCGCCGAGCACTTCATGCATTGGCCATCTCGGACCTCGGTACCGGGTGGACAATTCAAGCCGTATGCCGAGATGGTGTTGCCGAGCAGGACGATACATTTGACCCAAGGCATCGTATTCGCTTTCCTAGAGCGCTTGATTGTGATACGGAGTGTCGCGGGTAGCAGATCTTTTATGGCTTTTATTGATCCATCCCTGAGTGACCCTCAACTCACGACGCAAATCGTGGAATGACAAATGCGAAATCATTGTACAATATCAGCAGTTCTCAAGTGGGCATTGCATGGGGACTCTTCCTTAACACAGCCTCCCTCACAGGCCACCGAGACAATAGAGTGATCAACTTTAGTGCCGTTTATAGTCAATAACAGGCTCGTATTATACTCATCAGATACCTCCTGAGTGTCATACTCGATTACGAGGAAGGATTAGCATGGAGAGTGTCGCCATAAACTGGGGTATACGGCAGAGTGCCTGCCAACAGTCTCCGTCCCGATTCTAATCGGTTCTTTGAGTTTTCACTAAGAGCGGTGTTTGTACGGAACTGGGCAGTGCCGCCGTCGCATTAGCATCGCAAGGCCTGTATGATACGAATCAGTTGCAAGCTTTTGTCACAGGTGAGCGTCGGCCAGGAAATCCGAAGCCAACGAAATCCTTCTTGAGAAAGGACAAGCGTTCGGGTTGTTTCGAGACGAGTTTGATAGAAATCACTTCGCTAGCTCATTGAGTCGACTAAGCCGGGGAAAACGTTGCACTCTGAATTGACACACGCGAGAGAAATCCTCAACTCTAGTCTGAGACATTGCGTAACATTGAGATGACATGGAGCAGCCAGGGAGGAAAGACTCCTGCTAGTCAGACTTCCTTGAAGGGGTGCAGCGCGTAATAAATGGACCAGGTGAAACCTCACTCGCTAGAGAGGTAGTGAGAGTCTACTTCTACGCCTTGTCCCATCCAATGTAAACGCACAAGTTTGGCAGCTGCGTTACACGCAGGGGTATCAGCGTAAGGAAAAGTACCTAATTTTCGCTAACGACATCATGTGCTCCGAGTCGCCGATCATGTATGGTTTGAATGTTGTCACGATTCGTATCCAAACGGGAAGGCGGAGCGAAAGAGCTGAGCCTGTCCGAGTGGTCGATGACTAGAGAAAAAGACCATTTAAAATACAGCGGGTCTCCACTTTTCAAATCGTCGTCGATGGTGCACTCAGGACGGTAGCAGGAGGAAGCCTCACAGACCGAGACGGCATTGGACGGATGAGTAGCCATACCACCACAGGAAGGACTAGGTAAAGAACAGCCAGGCCGTGTGAACAAGACAGAGCTAGTGATGTGAGACCTGCATATGCATGCATTTATTGTACTATGCCGCCTCAATCGTAGGTAGACACTCTTCGTCACTAACCTGAGCAATGCAATCTAATTCGCGAATCCAGAGTCGGGACTCCCGATATGATTCTCAGATTATGATTGCAAGCAGTCCCCATTGAAACAGTACAAAAATAGGCATTTGTGTACATGTAGAGTGCATCCTACAAACCCCATTAAAAACATTCCTCGTCGTAGCAGTGACGCATTATCCCCAAGTATCAACAGTAGAGCAGTGCGGTACCCGCACGTTGCCGGTCTATAGCGTTTTTAGGTCAATTTGAAATACTAACCGCTTTTACAATAACATACTCATTTCTCTCCAGTTATTGTTTCCGATGCACTACTAAAATTTCCAAGGAATTATTTAGTCCACAACATACAAACCCATCTCAACGAAGTTATGCAGCAGGCCAACGCCCGTGGTCTCTTACGGACCATCGGACCTTTAACGTCTGGCCAGTGCGCACACAAAAGCTGCGTAATACGCTCGTATCGCCATGCATAATAATGGCTAAACATTAAGTCTCGAATGCGTTCTTGTTCACCACAGTATCGCACCCCAACAGACCTACCTGCTAGCTTTCCGTGTGAAGCGCCACTATCTCCGCCTAGTCCTCTTGAATAGGTCGATAGCCGATGCAGAACTCGGCTGACCCTCTTCTTATCGACCTTCCGAGCCACCATCCGCGCCTCTACCGGGTCCATCCCATCCCACACTAAGGACCTAGCTATAGTCTCCTCGAGGTCGCCGGTCCCGGGGGCAAGTTTGGAAGCCTCATCAGGGGAGGACCTCAGGGCCTCCATCCTCTGCTGCATTTCAGACACCCTAGCCCGCAGCTCTGGGAAGAAGGATGGCCGGCCGGTAATAACTTTGGATCGCGACTGGGCCACTTGGGCGTCTATGCGCAGACCGGCATCGGGGTCATCCAGTCTAAGGGCTTTCCTCTTCTTCTTAAGCGCCGTCTCGAGCTCCTCTACAGAGGAGAAACCACAACGCATATTGATACCGTTCACAGGCGCTCTACGTCCCCCTTGGCTCGACGATAGGCTCCTGTTTGCTCGACTCAGCGGAGCGGAGCGAAGCTGATTATCCTCAATTTCACCAGAACCGTTTGGAGTGGAGTCCCTGACTGTCGTGATTAGTGTCTCGCCCTCTCCATAACGACCGTCTTGTATCACATCCGACAACCCCATGTCGTCGTCTTCGTCTTTGCCGGGCCTCACTGAATAGGGTCGGACCGGGGGAGGGATAACACCTCTGAGGCGGGAGGGCTCTTCAGTACTGCCTTCCCCCTGATCGCCGCCAAACTCCTCCCCCTTCTCAAACTCGTTCAGTTTAGTCCCCTGATCTGGGCTACGACTCCACTTCAAGCGGGGCGACTCGTACTCTGTCACAGAGTAGCTCAGCGAGGCCACCTCCTCCTCCCCATCGCCCTCAGAGGGGTCCTCTGCTACCGAGTCAGACGACACGAGGGAAGATACCGAAGTGGGACGAGTTATAGAGGGACCAGCATCCACCACACTCCGAGGAGATGAGCCGGTCGGGGCGGGGCTGTCCTCTAGTATGGACTCTGTCGAGGGTCCCTTGTCGGGCTCATTGGTAGGAGGTGAACTGACTCTACGCCCCTCTAGTGCGGCCAACGAGTGCAGTAGATGCACTCGCCTTATACGAGTGACCAGAATGTCTAAAGGCAGGCAGGCATGAGTCGACTAAAGCCAACTTCTACCTGTCCTAGGCGGTGACACCACTGCAACAGCCCTGAGGAAGGCCCCTCCAGCTGAGCAATGAAAGCGTCCAGCCTTGAGTAAGGGGCCTAGCCTGAGATAAGCTGCCGCGTACAAGTCGATCCATTCCACAGGGAAGTCAGATCTGAACCAGCGAGGGTCTCCAACTGTCCTGTCAATATTAAAACCTACTCAGAGTCTGTCGAGGCGACCACGGAGCTCTCCTGAGGGTCTAGCTTGCGAAGGAGTTGCGTGTAACCATCGTTAAGTAACCTAAATCCTTTTGCCTGAATCGCGACAATTCCTATTAGGACATCTCCGCTCCATCTGACCTCAGCCGCGGCCCCCTCGTCCCCTTCAAGGCCCAAGTATTCATAGAGAGCATCGCCGAGGTCTGAGTCCTCTTCCAAGTCCACCTCGAAGTCAACAGCGAGCTCTCCTACTAGTGTTGGCTTCACCTTGGCGCTCTCGTCAGCGACACCTATGATCGATTTAGACAAGATTCT